AGTTGGCTCGGGAATAGAGGCAGCTCGGAATTGAACACTGAATATGCAGGAAGGCTCTCCACTAAATTTTGTTCATCAAAATTTGAGTACAACTCAAGGCATATGGGGAATTCGGAAATCAAGCAGCACCTACCCTCATCTACAGTGCTGTTTCCTAACATCCCATTTGATGTTCCAAAGTCAGGAGGAATAAAGTATTGTGACGGCAGTCGAATTCCGTAAGTGCTCCACATCGGTACTTTGGGCGAATTAAGGGCATAAGGTAAAGAATAAACGCTCTCATATATCTTTTTGTGCCTGGAAGTCATCAATGAGTCGGTTTGGTTGTCTGCGGTCCAAGATTTTAGGCCAAATGAGCCTATTGCACCGGCTGCCAAGCTCCCTTCATCTATTACTCTCTCAGGATTAAGATTGGTGTCTTGCAAGTCACTTCCTGGCGTGGGTGGTGAAAAGTCCATGGGGGAAATGAAAGTTGACGGCCATTGGTTTCTATGACAATCAAGACGTCAGCGTTGTCATCGGGATAAACAGGAACATCTCGCATGAGAATTCTAGGGCATCTTGACATACCGTCGTGTTATCTGGCTGTGGTCTATGTCGCTAGACAGCATATTGATGAGGGCCTTCAGATGCGCTGTAAAAGGCGTATACCACAGATTTCTGCAAATATACCCAAAGTTGAGGTCGATATACCACAAATAACTTATATGTGATAAGGGAAAGAGAATTGGGGTTAAGTGATTCTTCAAGGAGCGTCCGTTTTGTCCTTCTGTGGGATCAAAAAATAGAATTTAAGATGCTGAGCTGGATATTTGGCATTAACCAGTTGAGCAAAGTATATTACTTATGAATGAGCTTGTTCTGTGCAGAATGTCACTTTAAGAATGACACTCATCTCAATCATTGCCAGCAACTTGGAAGAGAGAGCCAGCCAGCACAGGCCAAGGATCAAAAAGAACAAGAAATATTTTTGAAGAGAGAGGTTAATAATATAACAATTCGCTATATCAAAAATTGAAAATCAAAGAGTGGCTGAGCGCAATATGGTATGAATGCAAGAAAAGACTGTGCAAAAGATGACAGAGGGTTAAAAGGAATGAAGAAGAGATGGGCTGACCATAACAGGATATATTGACCTTGGGACGGGTTGGTTTGGAACACGTTATCCTCCAAGGAGGTATCAGAGAGAAGACAGATAAAAAAGGCAGAGCGGCCTAGCCAGTCACTCAAACCACCCTTCGTTCCTCAATTTGTCCCCAGAGCGTGGCATAAGGCTTCTCCCAACGCAGTAGGTTGTATATTGCGGAGTCTCTCTGGTGGACTGAGGCTAGCATCTGCAAGGCGCTGAGAGACCGGGATGTGAATCCCAGCTTAGTGCTTTAAGGGTTTGACGCTGCGCTATCATGAAGGCAAATGTGTCTCATCAACGGGAGCCAAGAATGAATGTCTTCCATCGAATGACGAATTCAGACGGGGTGTCACATTTGGCTGAACGCTCCGATGCCGCCGTAATTTTGCACTGGAAATCTTTTCTTTTCTGCAGCAAGGTTCTTGAGCCCAAGCAACCGGACATCAGCCAGTCCCTTTCTGTGTGCTGTGATAAAACAAAAAATCCTGCTCGCCGTAGGCGCCGACAAAAACCCCGTGTTGTCAAGCCCATTAGGACGGTAGCTGATAGGTGGGAAGCAGAATACTATTGCAGGGAATAATCTTATTATTTTGTTGCTACAGGACAGGCATTGATATTCCACAGTATGCTCCTGGAGAGACGAATACCACTTAGAAGGCTTAGCAGGGCCTAAGAAGTAAAATGTAAGGTTACAGTTGGTGTTAACAGCCCCTCGATGTTGAACAAAACTGTATGAAGTCTGGGAGGGGTTGAAGCCTCCATGACAAAGCAATCCGACTCGCGGGCTAGGCCCGATGCGTCATAGTCGCTTCAAGACTAGCGCCAAGGGGCTCAAACATCGTCACCGACATCGAGTTTCACTGACACTGCTGATATGGAGAACGCTATTCTCAACCCTGTCAGATCTCATCAGATTTCCCCTGGTCTCCGTTTTATCTTCCGGCCAACACCACAGCTTTCCGGCTTGTGTCGTCAGCTGCCACCGCCATATAACCTCCCTCTCCGCTAAAAGCACAGCGGGGTGCTTGGTATTGCATGCATATCTCTTTCAAAAATCAGTACGACGTAATCTTGAGGCTGGAAAACAAAGCTTTGGAAGCTGTTGATTAAAACCGGAAACTCGTGCTCACATACACGGAGTCATCTGGTAAAAATACTGGCATATGCACAACTCGGCTACCTAGACCGGTCAATAATATTTCTCGTGGTCCAACCCTTTCCCCCTGAAACGCGATCAGTCGGAGATGACCTGTTGACGTATCCTCTACACCTTTCCTAGAAGTGGCTTCGTTTTCAAGCGGAGAACTGAAAGGCTAGAAGTCGCGGTCCATCTATCTGAAATCCAGAACAATTGTCTTCAAAAAGCTAACTTGATTTTGTTTATTTGTCATGTTACAAGTTGTTCGTTGTCCGGATGCACTGGCCGTTCTAGTGAAGGACTAAGACGACCATTTTGGAAACGATAGCACATAAGTTCTCTACCTGAGAAGGAACCAAGTCAGTATTCTGATACCCTCCCAATCGAAATTTCAAACATGTCCGATATCTGTCACAACCTGCTCTGTTTTGACAGCCGGCCTACGCACCGAACTAAGAGCTGCCAGCTCAATTTAGGATGAGGTATTGTTGATGGGTTGTCCAGGCAAAAACACCCTTACTCCTTTCATAGCTGGAGACATTTTTTAGTATTCTCATGCATTTCCAAGTATTATGTGAGGGGTTATTTCACACAACAGCGTTAATATGGTCTTGTGTTCAGCAACTAGAGTCCATTATCACTAAAAACATATCTTGGAGCTGCATTTCTTCTATATCTCATTTGTTTAAACAAAGGTCTACAGCATGGATTTGGAGCTACACCTCCTTCGCTTGTGTGGAGACTCTAGGCTTGAGGATTGACATAGGAACGTACATATGTTGCGTTTCTAACCGTGAGGGCTGCAGAAAGAGAAGCATGCCGTCGAGATGAACATGGCGAGTTCAGTTGCGGATATATCTTCTCCTGTAAAGATGATTGGACAATCCTCAATATCAACGGTAGAAGAAGTTCTGATCGCCATGTCCTTTTAGCGTGCCTGCAGGGTTCTGCGGACCACCCTACTTCAACATGCGAAAATAAAGCACGAAGGCTACAATATGCACATAATCCAGAATATGCAGCAGAAACAAAACCCGCCTTGGGTATTAACCCTCCGCACTCATAAATCGAACGACAGCACTTATCCCCAGAGTTAAAAATTTCTCAGGCGCTAGGAACAGGCGTTAAAGCCGCCAACCAACTAAAAAGGGGATGGGTTCTATTCAAAACAAAATACCCCGATCAATGGGTTCCTTCACCGGCTGGAAAGCAGAGACTACGCACACTTTCTCAACCGCAAGAGAAAATTCGGGAATTCCATTGATGTTCCGAGGTAATCGAAGTTCTTCAAATCTTCAACGAATCACCCCAGTTTCGTCTCTGCTCATTAATCAGGTCATGCGGGAAATGGGTCTGGAGCGCACTTCATCAAATCCCTGCGTGTCCTTCAACTCGAAGATAGACTCTTCATTGGTAACTATATCTTGAACCAATTGACCACGGCTCTTGGTTCTCTCGACGAATTGTGAGATACGCAAGTTGATGCGCTACCTATAAATTTGCTGTTATATTGTCCTCATTGAAAAGCAACAGCCCTTCAGCACGGATTATGGGTTACCCTTGCTAAATATAGAAAAAGTACAGCAAATTCAGGAAATCATTCCAAGGCATGTTTGTCGGTGCTGAATTAGTAAGGATAGGGCAAGCCTCCCGACTAATTAAACCCGACTTGCTATATTCGAGGGTATTGGCGCCCGCAGGGATACCATTCTAAATTAAACCCTACATTTCATAACGCAGAATAACCAATAGGAAGCTTCAGATAGATAAACCGTTTTATCTTCTATATCATTTTTGCATCAATTCTTCCGTTGATACACCAATTCGTTTCAGAGCAATTAGCTACAATGATCGCCTGGGAAATAAACAAAACTTGCCATTTCTCAATCTCTGCCCTGAACGTTACTTTAGTTAACTATCCAACTAGTTTCATAGATTGCATTCCTTTTTCCCAGCCGTTGCCAGCCATGGACCAAGTACAGGGTCCAATGGTATGGACGAACGACAACAGCCAGACGTACTTACTTCTAGATGCAGCTGGACCTGGAGAAATTTTGGCGCCGTGAGGGTTTTAAGGTTAATGCAAGTCATACTGGCGTTGTTCATATGTAGTATTAATTTTCGTGAACGGGCTGTGCATTAGCTTTCTGGGCAGGGTCAGTCGTGTCATAGTTATCTTAAAGGGACAGATGGTATGCATAAAAAGGAAGGGATTTAAAACCTCATCAGGGAATGTGAACAAGTGACAAAACACTTCTTTCTGCAAAATGTGAAGTTGCATCAGATGATCTGAAAAAGCGCGCAAAATAACAAGAAGGGAGAGACTCTTTGGTAATCCCAGGATAATCGGGTTGATAATGCTATCGTCTCCGGAAACTATCAGGTCGTATAGTATAGCCCTACAATTTGACTCTACCTCCAACTTGACTTTCTCCGTGCTCTTCTTAAATTTCATGACGAGCTTCTTCGACACGTTGGGCCATGACATCTTTCATGCTTACTGAAACACCTTTCATGTAACGAGCAATACCATTAGATGATGACGGCAGTCCAGAGATGCTTAAGTGAGAACTTATCAGTTGCGGAGCTGCATTCAATATATCCCTCCTTCAAGGCATCAACAACGGTGGGAACAAAAGCACCCTTATTAGCTTACTGACTCCAACTCAACAAGCCAATACAGGGGGCGCATAGCTTTTCAAGAGATGCCCCTATACGTTTGAAAGTGCGATTTCAGCTGTCAAGGCCTGTCTGCAGCTCCGGGTCCACTAGAAATATGGGCTTGTATATCTGCATGGAATGTTTCCGCATAACCACACGATATTTCCGCGAATATGTGAAGCGTTCCAGGGAGTACACGGGAGAAACATCTAGTATACGTTTTAGTCTCATTGTAAATGAACAAATGGTGATATATATCTTACATTTCCCAGGCGACGACCAAGTAGTTTCATCATAGGTGTGGTCCTATAATTGTCAGATATACAGATGTTGTCATCATGATATTGTTGATTCTAACAATTCCCTATTCAAACCCTGTTGCTAGCTCGAGAAGGGGCAATTCCTACAATATGTGAGCAGAAGTGATCTTTCATTGTGCAACAAGAATTCGTCAGAGAGAGCTGTGGTGGATATACCGAACTTATTAAAAGTGCTAGTTATCTCGAACTGCCTTCGTAATTTCGCTGAAATACTCGTCCTCAACCTTTCGAAGACCCTGCATTCATTAGAACGACAATGATAACGTAGGTGATCAGGAAATCCATTGCAATGATGATGAGAGTGGCAATGGCGGTGGTTGTATACTTGTTCCAAAAAACTCGATCGCTCCTCCAAGAAAACACGGGTCTCTTCTACCTCTGCTTCGTTAAGGGGGTTTTCTAGTTCTTCAGGTGAGGAGAGAAGCTACAGAGAATTGAGCAGTTGCTAGAGACTATTGAAGAACTTTTGGAATGTAGATTTATGCTCTGCCGGGGTTAAACCACAACAATGGGCTTGAAGCGATGGTATTTCAGCATGTAGGCTTTCTTTGAACACTCTGATGGGAGGTTCATTTCGAAAGTTACCTTGCAGGTTCTGATATCCTCTAGGGGTATACAAACACAGCAAGGGGTCGTGCAATTTAGTCATAATCTCACTTGCTGACCTTTGGGTCGAAATGATCTTCATCGAAGTCTTCGACATCTACTAAATCCTTCTGGATTTGGGATTTTGCATATTGATTTCTACCTAAGATACACTCCAGGTACAATGCTTGTCTCTTCTCCTGGGAATCTTTTAACTGTTAGTTAATATGTTTATTTCAAATCAATTTCCTTCTTCCGATCGGAAAGCTGCTTTTTGTTTCTTCGTAGCGTCATGGAGTTTCTGTTCTACAACTTCCACAGATTGTTGCTCCGGCAAATCAACAAGGTCCATATCCGTATCGATTTGAGATTTGACATCAGAGGTCCTCCACAGACCTGCTCTGTCCGCGGAAAAATTAGATATCCACTAAACCCGTTGTCACCAACCTGGAGTAGACATGCCCGTTGGCGAATCCGGGGAGCTCTGCAAATTATGAATTTCCTCAAGAAGTTCGTCCAATGCTGCTAAAGTTTGTTAACGCTCCTCTTTCAACATCTACGTTTATCCTCGTGTTGTTGACCATCAGCAGCGGGAACGTGCGAATCTAGGTGTGGTTGCATATTATCCAAGCTAAAAGACAATTGAAAGCGTCGGTCTTGGTGCAAATAAACGGTTCTTGGTTAAAAGCACAATCCATTAAGAGCATCATTCGATGTATCGTGAAGCAACAGCTGCTCTGGCAGAATTTGAGTCGTGCAGACCAGGCAAGTCGACTGTGACGGCTTCGTTTGCCAAAACAAGAGCCTTGACATACAGGCGAACTACTCATTATCAGGTGCCAAATTACATCCTCGGGTCGGGTGTCCAAGAACTAGCGAAACCGGCACCTCGAGAAAACTTTTGTGCACCACTCTCGATACCATTGTTACTACCCCTGGTTTTGCTGCCAACGTAACTTTGCAGCTTCGAGTAAAATTTGGATGAAGTAGGAAAAACGTGGTCGACCTCGAGAAACTGCGCGTTTTCACTCCAAGGTCTCCTTCTGGAGACTTAAGGAAACCGACTCACTTGCATACTCGAGCACCAGAACCAGGACTGTTGGATTTCTCTTGTCCGGGATATCCTGCAGATTCCCATAATGCCACCAGGACAATGAGCAAACGTTGTACCAAATCGAGACCGCCTGAGACTTATCGGAACCGAAAACAAGAAAACAAGACCAGCACACGGGCTACCTAAAAAGGCAATTTCCACGGGTAATTCTCTACTTCCTGGCGCGGATTCTTTGATGACAGGTTGGCGATCATATGGAATGAAATAAGACAGACACCCCCATTTTCGTTTTTCAAGATATTCATTCAGGTGTGTAGCGAATTTCCAGTTCATCATTGAGCTAGAGGCATTCTTGGAATTGTCAAACCTCTCCTTGTTTGGTCTTAGCTTCCCCAGAGCCACGTCGAGAAACCAAGGTCTGAAGATGGGACTTCCAGGAGGGACATAGTTTCAAGAGCACTTCAATGCCTCGGTCGTTCCGGTTCTCCATTCACAGGAAGTTCTTGGCCGACGGGCAGGGTTCAAAGCATAACATTCTTCATCCTCTATCTCGCCGCGAATGTCTAGTTGGCGCTGAAGGGGAGAAGACACGCGACTCATGTCTTGGTCGCAAGACTTGAAGTCAAGGACCGATTTACCTATGTGTGTTTCCCTTGAGTCGCTGCAAATAATCTAATAATAGCAACGGAAAAATGAAGCATTCATTGACAAAGACATAGGGAGACGTAGGCGTTGAGCAAAAGAATGAGCAGGGAAGGCTGAAGTCAAGAGTGAGGTTGAGCTCAAGGCAGATTATGTCATACCCGGATAAGCACCTCCTCTGCACTCAGCCAAGCCAGCAACTATATGCGGCGGCAGCTGCTGAAATGCCCAGCCGCGAGGAGCCTAACTCCTTGGGCTCCCGTTCTGATGTACAAACTTCAAAATAAGAGCGACCTGCCAAAGGGGACAAACTCGCGGCCATTGTTTTTGAAGACACTCTCGTACCACATCGCAGAATAGAATCAGCCAGCGACTTATACAATCATTAGGCAGACATGCACAATAATTGAGTGCCATACATTTTTTTTTTTTTTTCATTACTCCGCACGTACGATCTTGATGTCTTCAATAGCCCGCATCTTGGAGGCTTAGTGTTGATAATTATGCATTATAATTAAAGGGGATACTTTAAGAAAACACAAAACTCCAAAATTACAAGCTGGGTATCAGATATTCGATGCAAAGTCCACGAGAGTATTACGTTCATGCCCACTCCTTACGGTCTCAAGATAGCATCAAGGCCACCCGCGTCTTGCCAACGAGCAGTATTCACCGTCAACAATATCACCAGATTAACACCTTGGGCCCCCCACCCTGCAGACACGTACAAGAAGGGCACAGTTACCGAAACACCCCAAGAGTTAATTAAATTAAAGGAGAATTGTCCTGCAAGTGCGATTTGTTCCAAAGTTCAGGTGAAGTTGGAAATTCATGGCTTGGCTTTTTTTTCCCCGATCAGCCTCGTGTACGAAAATGATTATTTCCCAAAGCAAAAAGCACAAGAAGGGAACGTGGGGGACAGAGCAGGTAGTTTGGTCAACTTTTCCTTGCTTGTGAAATTGTCATCGTTGTGTTGATGACCTAGTTAACTACCTCATAGATGCCGTAGGTCGCGCGCTGCGCATTCGTATTTTAGTTCCTCCGATATATTTTTTAGGTTAACTCAATCCCGTGTTAGACTTCCCGGCATGGCTCTTGTGCACAGGGGTGCCTCTTTTCATTTCGACAGGCGTGACTACGCCACAGTGCTCTAATGAATGAATGTTGAAGGGAGTTTTCTGTCTTTAATTATCCAGTCGCTGTTCGAGAGAAAGGTGTAAGATGGGGAAGCTCCACAATGGGGGGAAAGAAAGTGAACAAGAATAGAGGAGATAATTGGAAGAGACAAAATAAAAGAAATATATATACAAAAGCACCGTTGCCAAGAACAACACAACCGCAGACTCGATGATAATATGCATAAATTAACAAAGTGAGGGTATCAAGATAAAACTGGATGCAGATCTATGGGATGCCAGAGGAAAAGGGCCCACTAGAAGAAAGTAAATGCATGACATAGAACTCTTTTACTCCATTACATCTCTAAGTTTAGCCTTCTCCTAAACAGGATCCAAATCTCATGAAAAAGGATGCCATATAAAGGGCAGATGATATGATGAAAGATGCGTGATACATTCCTATTCAAGAGGGGAAAAAATGAACCAACAGGGTAACCTCCAGTCGCGAACGTCATCTACGCTGATATTGTAAAACTTTCGCTCTGCCAACCGACGGCGAGGGAAACGATCTATAAAGTCTCCAGTTGCAACACGTATATATACAAGGCCAAAAACTCCAGTAGTTGAGTGCATATGAAACTCTCGCTCTAAAGAATGAGAACAACAAATGGTGATATCCCTGGATAACTTTCAGCGCACTGAAGCTGATCCACAGACCCTCTTCGCCACGAGAGTCCACTGGCTCTCAGTTCCTGTTCGGGTAGCCACATCACCGAAGTTCCTACCACATGTGTAGGTTGGGAGAGAGTCGTTATTATTGACAGAGTCGTAGAGGCTGAGAGGATAATGACCAGGTATCTGTGCAAAGAGAAGTTTGTCACTTTCCTTCGTGGCCTGGGAAGCAGGGAGCGTGTATTTTTTTTGATATTCAACATCCCTAGCTGACCACCCCTCCTTTTGAGGAGAGGAGTATCGCTCGCTGCTAGGCCTGGGGCTGGTGCTGGCGCGGGCACTGGGAAACGTCCACATATTATGCTCGTCGGACCAGGTAAGTTTCACGCTCGCCTCTCCCTGTTGAAAATCTGATCTGGAGTACGCTGACAGCATTTCTGAATGGGGACGCTGATTTTCACTTTTGCTCTTCTTCAACTTCGACCAGAAGCTCTTCCGTATGCGGCTCTCTGACTTAGATTTCTTGATCCTTTTCTCAGCTGGATCGGTGAAGATAGAAATGGGAGGATCAAGTGGTGCTCTGCAGGGGTATGGGGAGACGGTTGCGTAGCAATGCGGTCGGTATTCTTCTGGTGAGTATAGTTCTATAGTTGGTATTCCAGCCATATTGTCATGTCGTCTTGTATGTTGAGAATCTTCATTTTTAAATGCGGTCTGTTGAGCCAGGTTGTAGGTGTATGGGTGTCTTTCATCAAATAACTTAAACATTTTGGTAGATAGAAATTGTCGGCAAGGGTAATAAAGATATAAACAATGAATCCAGGCATCCAAAGTCAATTTGTGTATGCACAATATATATGTAACCGTTGTCAGTCACGATTTCAAGATAGAGAGGTAACTTAATAGATCCTCTTGTCAGGGATAGGGCAACTTATATCAAGAGAGGGAAGCAGGGTTATATTTGGTTATCAACCCCAAGGGTACAGCAGAGGCACCCTTGTTCCCAATAATGGAGGCATAGCCGCACCAAGGATAAAGCAACAAATAAACACATAAGCATTACTTTCATGAATCTGACAGCGCTTTGATCCTAGCGTGGCTTACCGCTGCCGAAAACACATGCTCATAATAATACGATGGCTGTGTTTAGCTGCTCCGCCATTATGTCTCTGTGCAAACTGGGCAACATGCAGCAAATTTGTGACAACTTCCAATCCGTACCGAGAGAGAACAAAAATGAGAGTCTATCCAGGAGCAGACCACGGATACGGTCGACATTATTTTCCTAGTGTCATTGAAATACGACCGCTGCGATGAAGACAACTGCCAGAGCCAGGAATCAGGTGGAACAAAAGGGAATCGCATTCGTGCAGCGGAAAATGGCGGAGTATGATCGGGCATAGGATCGTCTGAAGATCAATTTAAGAAAAATAATAATATCGCAAAATAGCCCCTGGAATGATGTAATCGCTATCCAATAATGGTGAGAGTCGACACCTATGATGACAAGCGGAACTGTCTCCGAGATCCTGATATTTGCAAAAACAGCGAACAGAGAACAGTCAGTCGAGATGCCTGAGTAGGCCTTGGCCAAACCCATAAACGGAGACCCCCCGAAGATATTGCATGATGATTTCACAATTATACTAGACAATTGCTGAATTGCCCGTTTCATGTGCGCCTTTCCTTCTGACTCTAATGCGAAGAAGCTCGGGCAGGTTTGGCGCTGAGAATTTTTCTTTCTTTTTTTTTTCTGCCAGGGTGATGACATCCCCAGGTAATCTGTAGTTTTCCATTCATTATTCGAGATCACAAGACATGTTATGTTGATGGAGCCGCCCGAAATTGGATGCTATTTTTCCCTTTTGAAATCCAGGAACACAATATTTAGCTCGACAGTTGGAAGATCGCTCTCAAAGAAAAATCACGCCAAGAACCGTCCCCGTAGTAGCAGCGGAAAGATCTAAATTTATACCTTACCCCGACAAGACCTGGGGCGGAGATATAAGCACAGATGAAGAACTGCCCCTGGTATCTTACCCTTTTATCTCCGACCAATCTATGATCAGCTCATGGTATTTAATCTCCTTCGTCCATAGTATTTAGGATTCATGGAAGTTCCGATCGTACATGACATCATCGACTACGGAGGACTCTCTCAACCGTTGGACCCCGAAAAAAGACAGGAAGATCGCTGATTCCTGCAAGTTAGTTTGAATTATGAACAGAGAACTGCATTTGATGGATCCAATATAAATTTCGATCATAGCCTTGGAAGAGCGTCATTTCCCTTCGATTGTCGGGTGTACGTTTTACGTTGGATTACTAGACCAAAACGATCAAGCATGATGGGCAGACAAGCAATTTTCCATCTTCTCCTGGTCACTTGAACTTTTCGAAAGAATGCTCTGAAAAATATCCTTTAAAAGAGGTGCTAAATGCTTCCCATCTAAAATACAAAGAATATTTTATATTTCATTTTATCGATCTTGAACAGATAATATCACGCAGTGTGTTATCAACCGAGTAACTCCTTTTGCGGGTATATATATAATTCGAATAATAGGTATTTGGAGAATTACATCTAAAATATATTCCATTCAATCTTTTAATCTGCCCTGAAGTAACTATATTTGCCAGGAGCATGCCACCTCGCCGAAAAAGTCCTTGTGGAACGTACGTATATTTAGATATTAATTGTAATCAAATTTTTGAGACTTGAAGTTCACCGCATACTGAAATCCCGTGGCTTGAGAAGTCATAACATAATTAAAGGAAATAAAAATAAAGAAGGAAAGAAAGAAATAGAAAAAGGAAGACACATCATACATTGATTGAAGGCACAGAAGATATGTTGCTCAAGCATTTAACTTCACATGGAGTACAAATAAGAAGAAATCCTCAAATAGGGAAACATGAATTTAACACTGATTTTTCAAGTGAGTTTCACTTAGAGCTCACTTTAACTTGACGTTCAGCTTACTTCTTTCCATCCTGAGTAGCTAATGCTAAGAGATATTAAACTCTGCTGGACAAGGGAAACATTGGCTTAAGGAGAGATATGACAGCCGTCGAGGTGAATGATGGAAACTCGCAAAAGGACATCTGACACCCGAACATGCGACGTACTAGTTAGTGGTTTATATGGCAGCGGTATGTGTGACATGGCTTCAGCGATTTTCCGCTGTAATGCTGTATAAGGAAACAAGCATAAACGTCATTGCATTGAAACAAGAATGTTGAAACATGGATTTTGCTTAGGGCCGAGGGTTACACCACATATACATCGGGTGACTGTCTTTTCCGGATCTTTGATTCGACAGCCAAGAAATGATAGGAATGGATGAAAATTACGATTTAATTTCCACGGAGATTACGGTGGAATTCCTAGCCGTGTCTTTATTGATTAATCATGGATATTATTATTACTGGCCACGGACGCCGAATGTGCTAGGCGGGTTATCTGCGGGGGAAATGAGGCACCTGGCCTGGGTAGCATCGGTGTATTTGAGTGGTGGAAACACGATTTAACTGTACGGAAAGGTATCTAAGCAGGAGTGGAAATAAGGTGTAGAGAGCGCGAGAGAGGGATGTTGATGCATCGCAATAGGGATTTTCATTCTTGGCTCTGAGATGAAGAACCCATGAATGGAGATTGTATATAATGAGACCGGGAAATCTGACGTTGTGTTCGGGTTCTGGAGGAGAAATTTCACAAATTCTGGGAAGAGCTATTTTGTAGATAGTGAAAAGGAAAGTGTTAGAAGATTCTGTAGAGTTGTTAAATCACTAACAAAAGTGGTATAGAGACATAGTCAGGGAGAATGATGAGAAGAGCAAGGGTAGTGGTGATACATCAACATGAATAGAATGATAAGCCAGGGAAACTGGGAATAAGATATGGAGAGCAAAGTACAGATTGTTTTTTTCTTCTTCCTAGTCCAAGGACATCCTTTCCCAGGTAGGCATAAAGAGTCTCAAAATGCTGGTTACAAGAGGTGAACACGGGTCTTCCTCGGAGAATTGACATGGTAGAAGAAACAATAAAAAGGAAATCAGTGCGGTGACATTCAAGTGGGTTCCCCAGGACACTCGGTCGAGGAAGAAAATCCCAAGTCAATCGGGAAACGAACGTAGGAGGCAAACAACCAAGGATAGAACGAAAAACACCAAAGAAATGTAACCAGCAATTATATGCCCCCCAAGAAGTCGTGTTTCCCTTCATTTTATATATGGTACATATATATCCAGCAGGGGGTGAAACAACGAAAAAGTCTTGTCGCTGCCAGAAACTGGACCCTTGCCCCCCCAAAAAAAGCTGTGCGTTCGTGGCGTTCGTGATTAAATAGGAAGCACCAGGCGAAATAGAATATATAGCTGAAGGGAAATTTGCGCTTTTGCAACTAAGTAAGAAAAAAACATTGTGCAAAAGATGAACTTTCTGCCATTTGTATACCCCAGATACTGGAAGAAAGTTAAAATAAATAAATAAAAACCGCAGAACGAAGCTGAAAGTGCCTCTCCGCTGGCCAAGCCCGTTTGCTCGAGATAAACCAGGAGAACCTAGTGCAGAATGTGGGTATCATCACCGAAAGAGAATCTATGCAAGGAAGATAGCAGCGATGACAGCGAGACTAGCTACAGCGAAGCTGGTACCGAATGAGGCGGCAACACCCTCAAAATGAATGGGGGTTGGGCTACTATAAAATACATTAGACGACATTGTAACGCATTTGAGGGATATTGATTGCTTACACTGGGTAGCTGCCAGTTGGAGATGCAATACCAGTTGGAGATGCAATACCAGTTGGGTAGTTAGTTGGGCGATCAGTTGGGTGGACAGTTGGGTAGATAAGGGTAGTGGACGAGGTCACGGTAGGGACGCAATTGACAGAGGTGCAGGTGGTGTAGGTGACGACAACAGTGGTAGTGGAATGAGTGGTAGGGTACACTTCAGTACCGGTTGGGTGAGCAGTTGGCTTCGGCTTGCCCGTAGGATAAGGAGCCTTCTCAACTGGATAGGTGGACTCAGAGGGGCAGTCAATGGTAGGCTGGTACTCAGTTGGGTAATCACCATGGCTAGTGGGGTGAGCAGAAGGCTTGCCAGTTGGATGGGCACTGGGCGCAGAGACAGGATATGACGCGGCATCAGTTGTCTTGGGACCATGGCCTGGGCAGCTGTAGACATTTGGAGGGCAGCTGGTGACCGTCACAGCCTTGGTGGAGTAGACGGTGGTGGGCTCAGCAACTGGAAAGCTGGGCATGGCCATAGCAGCACCAGCAAAAAGGGCAACTGATGCAGTGGTGAAACGCATGATGACGGTTAAGCTATGTGGAATTACTTGATATTTATATCGGTTTTAAACAAAAAAATAAAAACAAAAAAATATCGTCGGTATGTGAAAGAATGCAGTTTGCTAGTGCGAAGATTAAAAGAGTGTGGGCGACCGAAGTCGAAGAGCGAGATGCTGCAAGAAAAGATATATGAGGATAGGCCAGCAAGCAGTATGTCAAGAGGAGAGAAAGAGAAATGGAAAGGAGAGAAAGAGGACAACGTGGGTGACGGGCAACTTTTGTAGGACGTGGGAGATTAAGCTGGAAGATCCCCTTGGGACTAGCAACAGCCAGGGAAAAGGGGGAAACCGCCTAAGATGAGCACACCGGGCTCCAGCCATCTCCATCCTGACTTGCTTGTCATTCCATTCAGGACAAGAAAATGGTTGGCTAAAGCAGCAATGAGTCGGTTGCAGTGGAATCTCTGGCAGGCCATGCAACATCGCTGTGCTACTGGTGGCTTCTGCTGTGCTCTCTCCCCCGTTCAGCGACGGCCCCACGCCTTGGCTCAGTTCTGGCATGCAAAAACACTTTTTCAGGTTGTTTGAGTGGCTGGCGAGGTGAGCGGTTTGAGAGCCGCTCTAATCACTCAGTGGATCTGCCCCCTGGATCTTCAGCCAGTCAGCGCGACCAGTAGTTCAGCTAGTCTCCAGTCGGGAGTGCCAACAACAGCTTGCCGGTAAACGCCACTGGCTGCATGTTCCCTTAGCTGGCCCCACTGGTCCTGACTGCGGAAGCAATTAAACGTAGGGAGCAGGCCCCCCAGTGTCACCATCAGTGAACGGGAGACTGAGCGGTCCCTGGTTGGTTTAAGATTCCTTGTGGTCATTGCCAGCCAGCAAAGCGCTTCCTTCTCCCGAAGGATCCTCTCCGCTTGCGCAGGCACCACATGCTGCTGGCCACTCATCCTGCATGTTGTTCCGGGCCGTTCTCCAGAGCCGTCTCCACTACGACAAAGGCCACGTTCGCCACCCCCTGGCTTGGCATTCTTCAACCGAGTTGTCCTTGGAGTTCATGGTTTCATCTTCCAACCAACAAAAAGCTCAAAGGTGCCACAATATGTCATGGCTTTCTTTCATGAATAGTCTCTGAAAACTGATTGATCTGTTGATGGCACTTCCAACTTCCCTATCGCGTTGTTGATGGCGGTTGTGCGCTCTAATTGACGGGAGGAGATGTAAAGAGTGAGCCCAAATCAAACAGCAGAAACAGTGGGGTGGATTTTGACATTCTCCTCCCCAATTTTTGCCATCCAAACTTGGTGGAGCTTGTAGCTAATTATTATATAATATTGCAGTATTCGTGTTGTCCAGAAGTCTGTAGGGATGGATACTGTACTCTCATGACAAGAGCTGGATCTCATTGGGTCTTAATTGACGCATAATGACCACAGCCTCTAAAATTATTGCCCATTTCTCTCCTAAGTGCTAGACAAAAACTTTTGTGTGGCTTTTCTGAGTCCGTTTTACCTGCTTTTTCTCTTTGACAATAACAAGTGTTAGTTTATGCACTACAGATGGTCTTTCTTATCTTTCTTGCCCTTTCTCTCATATTCAATGAAAAGGGCTTAAGGTTTGGCAGGTTACTTTCACTGATATCTTTTATTTAATGTTTCTGATCTAGATCATTCAGATCTACGTAAAATGGGCTCAATTACATTCCTGCTTTCTCCTCTAATTAGAGCTATGCAGGTACTCACTACTTATAGAGCTTAAATTGAGCAGGAGAAAGTTTGTGATATCATATTATCAAATAAATCCCTTTCCTGGGGCTTGCATCATCAATTAGAGGCCAAGTTCATGGCATCTATAGTCACAGTTTATGGTTTATCCATCTCCCATTGCCATTGTTCTCAGAAGACCCAGCCACTCTCAGAGGGAATGAAAGCAGACAGCATGTTCCCTGAATGCCAACAGAAAACACGGTCAAGATCAATGCCTAAGGTTTTGCGGGAGAATTGTCACCTTCTCAGAAACCCCGCCCGCACAGCCTTCAGATGACAAGGGAGAGGCGAGGGACATAATTAGCATGAGTGATCCCTCTGACAACTCAGACACAGATTACACTGTGAGCAGTGACAGCAGTGAGTCAGTGAAGCAACAATCAAAGCAGCAAAAATCAAAGCAGCAAAATTTTTCCTCAGTCAGTCACAGGGTGTGAAGCTGTTGAATATCATTGAGAAGTTAAGTGGGTGCCTCGCAGTGGGCAATCAGAGGCTGTCACAGGGCACTTGGAGGTTCCACACGTGCAGGTTACAAACAGTGCACACACTCCCTCACAGCTGCGCCCACTGGTGATTCTGAGCACATTTTGACCTGCAGCTGTTATCCCCAGAGGGTGTTTTTGCGCTGATGTTTCCTTTACCCAAAACCTCCTTGACCTCTGTAGGGATTCTTCAAGGGACGCTGAGCGTGCCATAAATGATGAAGTGGCTGTGGTCCACACTGAGAGAGTGGATGAGGATCAAAGGATCACGGAGTCAGACAGGAAGAGATCTCAGTGGACCCAAAGAGATATGAGCGTCTGAAGGATTTAAAAGACACAGGCCTGGCATTGGTGGGAAATGAATAAGCAGTTTCCGCACTGAAAATTAGGCGCCCTGCAGCAGCGATGGTCCTGGAAACTCCGGGCAAGGGGCATCGCTAGCAACTGACAGGCGGGAGCGGAAGGGAAATTCAATCATCGTGGCTGTACTTTGTACCGTAGTTTCGACGAGGGTCTTGATCCCGGCCATGGCGTTGATGGTGGAATGGAGTCGGTTTATTTATGACGAAACAAAGCGCTTGTCCAATTGATTTGTGGTGTTGAGAGAATGAGTGAGTAGAGGCAATGGAATTTTTTTTTGGGAGACCCATCAAAGAGAAAGTCCAAATAATGCAATCAAATAAATAAATAGCTTTTTGATTTTGCAATACCGCTCAATCCGATAAATCCTCTTGCATAAAATCAAAAACTATCTAACGACTGAATAAAGGTAACTATTGTACATAAAAACAACAATGCTAAAAAGCTAGTGAGTGGAGTTGTTTATCATATCTATTGTAATGAAAGGTGCATGAATTCAAAAAGTGTCTGGATATCCTGTATCTGTCATGCACCCTCAATTATTCGCTTCCATATTGTATCAGTACAGATTGTCCTGCAACTATAGTCTTCCAATGCATGCCAAATGTTTATCAAAGGAAATGATAAAGAAAAGTTAGGAAGTAAACAAGAACCTCAACAAGGTTCAAAAAAAGACAAACAGGAGAGGAACACGGGCCGACTGGCAGGAGAAGCAACAATCAATCCAACTCCGGCTTCTCTGCAACATAATGTCTTAGAAACAGATCATTCTGGATCCACATCAGCTTATTAAACGCAGCGAGAACGCTCGTCTTAGTCCGGAGATCCAGGCCATCAGCCGCCAATGTAGTTTTGAGCATCAGATCTTCCACAAACCCTAGCAGCAGCGACATATGCATTAACTCGACACGGAGCTTGGGTCTCTTTTCTCGGTGCTTGAAACCGGCCTTGCCAGTGTGAATGACGCTAACTTTATCTAGATAATCCCAGAAGGGGCTGTCATCGGCCCAGTTCTTGTTGCTGACTAGTCTAACCAGGTAGTTTTTGAGGAAGTCCTTGCGGTGAACGATATTTGGGTGATCAAGGGAGAGCTCGGAGATGGAGGCTTCAGCGGGTTCCGTAGCAGCCTGCTCCGGTTGGCGGGGCACAAAAGATTTGGCGGTGATATCGTAGGAAAGGAGTTTGGTGTAGACTGCTTCTAGGATGGCAGGGACAGCGGGTGCAACTATGTCCTTGGCTGATTGGATAAGGGCTCCATCTTCTTCGGTAAATTGTAAGAAAGATTTAGCATAGGCAATGCGTGATTTGAGGTCTGTGAGAGAGTCCTCATCGATGTGGGTGATAGTACGGCCATTGATGGCTGACATGTTGGCTGTAGGAGAGTTGGTTTTGATTGGTTTGCAGGGCTTATAAAACGAGACTGGAGGAAGGATAGCCGTAGGAAATTGCTCAGCAGGAGAGAAAGATCTTCAAAACGCGCTATTTCTGGTCCAGTATATGATGAAGAGATGAAGAGTAGTAAATTTTTACAGGGAAATTCAGAAAAGAGAGAAAAACAACGGACGGTATATATACACCATCCCATACCACTAGCTCACAGGTGGAGTAGGATTGAGCAATGGTGACACCTGAAGAAGAAGAAGAAGAAGAAGAAGAAGAAGAAAAAGAAGAAAAAGAAAAATTGAGGGATCACGCGCAAAACCAGACGTTTGAAGAAAATGTGGGTATTACTTCTTTTCTCCGTACGTTTTCTAAGTAACAAAAGATCCCTGTCCGCGGAGAAGCCCAATGCAAGAGAATAGAGCATATTTAAAACGCTCAGTAAAATCTCCACTTGAAAAAATCAGGCCACGTTGTCCGGGGCAGCAAGAGATATCAGAAACTGTCTCCTCATGCTGAACGATTTCAATATCAAGAGCCCGATAACTACGGGACTGGATCGATAACGGGGACGGGAACTTTCCAGGCTACAAAACCGAACATATGCGCGCAGCGATTGGCCACAACACTTGTCCAGCGTAACTAGTCATCCGGAATCGGTTCCAGCCGAATGGTGTCTCCGGGACATACCGATGATGTAGCTTTAAAGACGTTGAACATGATTTTAAAATCTCTGCTGAAAAATTCTTCCGTGTCCATTTAATATTCAGATTATTACATCTCCTCATCAAAGCTAGTTATATATACTAGCTACATCTTATAAAATCTCAAATATATTTTAAAATGGAGATTGGTTCAAGGTCATTCTGGGCGTCGTCTTCGTCTTCTGGGTTTTTTTGCAGAGAGTGTTAGTTTTGTATGTAGGGTTTGGTTGGGGAAGGCTGTAGAAGGTAAAGTGGGGCGCAATGATTGTGATGAAGAACATGTAGGAAGCGATGGAATATGTTTCTTCTAAGGATGAAGGCTGCAGGAGGCTATGGTTATATACTAGGTGGGGTAAATTTGTTTGAAAGGGGAGGGAGGTTAATCAGTTTCTTACCATCTGCGGCCTATAGGTGCAAACAAGAAGATTGTTAGTGAAAATTCTTCTCCATAATGAATACACATAATAATTCGTATTTTATGCAAACTCAGTGTGCTGACAATGGGAAGAGTTCATGTTCTGTATTTGTATAATATAATAGTGATTTTATTAACTATATTTACTAGATTTTTACTTTCAGTTTATTTTAATTTGAACTTAATCTAAGTTTTAAAATTGAAACATTAATTGTACAATATATTTATATAAAGATTATTTTTTTTATAATAGATTTAAAACTTTAAAAAAGCAATTATATAAAATATAAAATGTAATAGGCTAACATCTAAGGTGAATCTTTTGTAATTAAAACTCTTCATATTACTCTTTCTTTGTTCTGCATAAAACTCTGTGCTCATCTTTGTAGCTTTCATTCTTTTTTCTTATCTCTTCTTCTAATGAATTCGTCTTTTTGTTCTATAAGAAAGCGCTAGAGCTGTATTTAGTGGCACATTGTTACATTATGAATTCATTCATTTATGTGACGGTACTAGACGGCGTTGACTACGGAAACTGGCATTGTTTGAAAAAAGTAATAGCAATTGCATAGCAACCACCTAGCGGAAAGAAGTATATAAGAAAAATATTCCCCAGGAATCTGTTTTGTAAATCGCCTTAGTATTCATTAAAATAGCTTATCTAGTTGACAATCAAATATCTGTTTATCTATGCCTAGATTGAAGTCATAACATAATGCTAAGTTTATACTATTTTTTCTTTACTTTTTTTAAAGTATATTTTAGATGAATAATCTCTTAGAAGTTCTTTGTTTATCTTTATTTTGATAACTCATGAAATTATCAAAATGTCAGAAATCAAGAAAGAATCTGAAAATTTATGAAGATCAGATTAAGACAATATGATACTAATAAAAGAAGAGATGGGATTAAAAGAGTCTATATTTATAAAGCTATTTTTAACATCACTGAAGAACTTCAGATATGTATATCAAAAGATTTCTAATATCATGAATAAAATTAAAAGTAGAATAGAAAGACTCTGAATTGAATGAAATGAGAAGAAAAAGCAAGTAAAAGAACATGATCAATTGATAAACAGTCTAATGAAGAAATGAAATACTCTACAGCAGATATTACAGCACAATCACTGATAATAATGAATTAAGATTGATTCACTTCACTATGATCTGAAGGTTGATTCACTCTGATCTCAATCATATTTAATTTCTCACTGCTTTGCTCTGAAGATTAATTAGCTTTAATTTTTAACTATTTATTTATATTCAGCTGCTCGTTCATTCTAACATTCTAATCCTCAGTTTAGTATTCTCATCATAGCTGTCTAGTTAGATAGATAAATAGAAGCTTTATCTCAACTCTAGATTGTATCATAATATAATACTAAAAACTTCTTTCTTATAAGTTCTGGAAAATTGAGTAGATAGATCTTATATCTATATTCATGTTTATATTTATATTTGTATCTATATCTATATCTATATCTATGTTTAATTGAACTTCTCAGTAGTTGCAACTATGCTGAATACTCAAAATTTTTTATTAATTTTTGTTCTTCTTTATTGTTCTATACTTATTATTATTTTTACTATAAAAGCTTTTTTTCTACTCTTTATTAGAAATTTAAAAGTGCTATTCAAAAGCTCTGAAATTAAAATTAATAGTTTCAAACTCAATGTTATTTCTTATAAACTGAATATTAATTCTTATAGATAGCTCTGAATAACTCTCAATCTTAATTTAATCTAAGCTCTTATTGTCAGATCTCCAAAAATTACTGATCAAACTCTGAAATTTGACATTTAAATTCTTTTAATCACAGTCAAATTATACATTAATCAAGTCATTATTAAAGATTTAATTAATCAGTTTTACTCTATCTACTTGAATCTATATTTAAATCTACAAATAATGTTTTTTTCTCAGCTAGTGCAAGCTGAAGAAGTGTGTAATTAAAATTACAACTCAATTCTTGATCAGCTTTCTCACATATATAACAATTTAAACAAGATAATTTAGGTAAAAGATAAACTATATAGTTTAAAGTAGAGCTCAAGTGAATCTTTAATAGTCTATAATACAAGTTTAAATACATTCTCTATGAGATCAAAGTTCAGAAGTGATCACATTCTTTAAAGATCTCTCAATTTTGATAGAGTTTTGATATATCAATTTCTAATCATTTAACTCAACAGTTAAATCTTTTTTAGATCTATAAAAAATTCTTATATATTATCTAGTAATTAACTTTTAACTTCTTCTTTTTATCTTTACCTCACACTTCTTAATAATATGATTGCTCTACTCATTATAATTTTATAAATCTAAGTTATATTTAATTTAATACTTTTGACTTTATATATGATTCTTTATTATATACTTCATCAATTTCATCTTCTTAATAAAAGAGATATTATCAAGAAGGTTATTGTCTATATTATAAATCTAATAATCATTGAGTTAAAAACTATTAATTTTATTCTTCTTCTTCTAAGCTTTATTACTACTGTCAAACTGTTAAATGAATTCTAGTCTTTAAATATAAATCTAATGATAACTTTGATATTAGTGAGATATAAAAGAAAATATCTAATAATCTGATGAATGATAGTTAAGGTAATCAATTTACTAATAAACTTAATAAATTTTATATTATTCTTTTCTTTTATTTAACATAGTTGCTTAAGAGCAAGTACTTTTTGAAACTAAGAAATAATATTACAATGTAGTTTTCAATAATATAAATTAAAATTAATATATTCTGCTATATTCTATATATTAATTTACTTTAATTCTTAGTTATATTTAATTGTTTATATTGATTTACTCTATTCTGAAGATTAATTCAATCTAATCTTTAATTATCTACTTATATTTAACTATTTATTTTATTCAATATTTTAATTTTTAGTTTAATATTCTCATCGCAGCTCTGTAATTAAATAAAGTAAAACTTTTATTTTATTTATCTTAATTTTAGATTGAGTAATAATATACTATTTTTAAATAAAGAATATAAGAATATAAGAATATTATAATTATTATAAAATATTTAGATAAAAATATAAATATTAAAATAATTATTGATATTTTTATTTTTAATTTATTCTATTAAACTTATAGTTTTTTAATTCAATATTTCTGATAATAATACTTAATTTATTAACATTATATAAGACTTTATATATTAATTAACATAATTCATTATCTAGTCAATCAGATTATCTAGTCAATTAGTTTATTTAATGTGTATGCATTTAACATTCATATCAACAAAATGCTCACTCTACAGCCTTCTCAAGCTTTCATTCAGAAAGAAAAAATTCTTTTGACTATTGAGATGTTAAAAAGAGGTCAAACTTTAAGTATTAAGAAAGCTGCAAGCTTGTACAGCATCTCTTTTATCATCTTACAGAATTGATTAAATAATCATATAATATAAGAGAATTTTCAACTCAATAATTAAAAATTAACCTCTACTGAAGAGTCAGTTCTTGTACAGTGAATTTTATTTATGAATAAATATGACCAGCCTTCTCAAGTGCACATTGTATAAAAAACAGTCAATCTTTTACTTGCCAACTGAGATTCTAGCACTGAGGTCAAACCTCTATCTACAGTTGGTAAATACTGAGTTAATCAATTTATTGATCATTATTTTAAGCTCAAATTCAAGTTCTTATACAAGTACAATCATCAATGAGCTCTATATGAGGATTCTGAGATTATTTATAAGTGATTCAGACTTGTACAAAACACTATTATAAAGTGTAGAATTCTGAAAGATGATATCTACAACTTTGATGAGATTGAATTTTAAATAAGAGTTATTAGTACTGTTAAAGTGATGACTGAGTCTAAAGAAATT